AGAATACAGTAGAAGATCTTAACGTATATAGAGATTCCAATCATACATCCAAACCGCAGACCAAAACCAACAAGTGACCATACCACGACGACCAGGACGACGAGACGAAGAGATCGCCGCATGCAGACGCCGCACGCGCCGCCACGCGCCGCCGGGAGGAACCTGCTGCTGGAAGTTCTCGTCGCGCGTGAAAGCGCGTGAGAAGGCCGTTTTCTGACCGGTCAACACCGTTGACTTCGCCGTGACGTCAGCTTTCTGGATTGGTCAAGTTTGTTCGATTCCGAGAAGATTTGATTTGCGGTCAACTGTTCGGGCCAGCCAGATCTACATAAATTTTAAGCAGTAAGTTTTCTTCATCAAACCTTTAGATCCGCTGCACATAGGTTTATGTTGAATGTTTGTCTGTGATTTGTGCATATCGAGATCCTCATGGGTTCCAACAGTTGGGACATGGTGTATTTATAGGCTCCATTATGGACCTTAAGGAGATGCTAAATATGGGCTTATTCCATTAGGCCTAGGAATCCTAATTCTACTCCAATACTAATTTAATGTAGGAAGGAAATCTCCTATTAATCTCCTCCTCTATAGAAGACTCCTAAGTCTCCTAACACTAGAGAATATCCTTGTTGGAATATCTTTCCTAATTAAATTAATAGCGATGGAATAAAATTAATTCCTAGTTTAGGAAGCCTAATTTTACTCCAATTAATAATATAATGTAGGAAATATATTTCCTACTAAGCTCCATCTTCTAGAAGACTCACAAGTCTCCTAATCCCAAGAGAAGATTCTAGTAGGAATTTTATTCTCCTAATTAATTAATTAATATAGAATAAAATTAATTCCTATTTAATGGAATTAAATAATAAAACATCCCACTAGAGTAATATTATTGCTCTCCCCATTTAGCCACAATTTTCCCAATAAAATCGAGCCTCCATGATTAAATAATATTAATCCGATTGATCGATTTACCTCTTAATGTTTAAGATATAACGTCCGTTGATTAATTAAATTACTGACAAAATAATTAATCAACTTCATATTTATTTCTGAAATTAGTACCACTCAGACTTTAACCATTATGTCAGACAATCGTCTACCTGGATGGTTTAACATAAAGTTCCTTCTTGAGCTCATTTCGGGGACGTCCCTATGTTAACCTCCCTATGTTTAAGATATAACGTCCGTTGATTAATTAAATTACTGACAAAATAATTAATCAACTTCCTATTTATTTCTGAAATTAGTACCACTCAGACTTTAACCATTATGTCAGACAATCGTCTACCTGGAGGGTTTAACATAATGTTCCTTCTTGAGCTCATTTCGGGGACGTCATCAATCCAGCGCACTGGAACATAGTGACCGTAAATAATTTATAATAGCACATCATATAATTATTCTTACTTACCAAAATACCTCGTATGTCATCCTATTAAAATAGGAATCACTTGGTAAATCAAATAAATAAGAAATAAAAATATATGCTTATTTTATATTATCTTACAGCTTAAGAGAACGCATCAATCACTGAAGGTCTAGGTTACGACAACGGTCAGTGAGTCTCATATCCTTATCCTTACGTGGTCCTGTTCAACACTTAACATAAGTGCTAGTGTAATCCTTCAGTCAAAGACCAACTGAATCGAGAATACAATACAGTCTTTTTCCAAGTGAGGTCTCACTGCCAGTCTAGACTGTGAACGAATAGTTTAGTCTTATAAGGAACCGATAGGTGATCTTTCTGTTCGAAACTCTTCGAACCACACTATCTCAATATAAGACATGGAGTATGTATTGCATAAATAAATAAACTGCAAACATATGTACTTTGACCGAAACATGATTGCCAGATCAAAATGGAATTGATAGAATCTACAAAACATAGCTTTTACAGCATACCTATAACAAAGACTTCAAGAACTACCTCAAGCATAAGAGGAAGGAGATGAGTCTTGAAGATCTGGTTGTTCGTCTTCGGATTGAAGAGGACAATCGGAAGTCTTCGGGGAAGGCCCCGATGATGGAAGCTCGTGCCAACTTGCTGGAGCAAGGCAACTCGAGCAAAAGGAAGCCCCTTAACACAAGGAAGCCGCAGCCTGCCAAAGTGTGGAAATTTACCGGCAATTGCCACAACCGTGGAAAGCTGAACCATATGGCTAAGGACTGCAAGAAGCCTAAAAAGGTTGGACTAAAGAAGGCACAACATAGTGCCCTCGTTGCTGAACACGGCCCTATGCCGAGTGAACTAACCGATATGGATATGTCGACTGTGGTGTTTGAAGCCAATTTGGAGGATAACCTAAGGGCGTGGTACATTGATACTGGTGCCACTCGCCATGTATGTTCCGACAAGGAGTTGTTTTCTGACTACACTCCTTCTATTGGTCGGAAGCTCCCCTTGGGAAACTCCTCCTCGTCTGATGTGGCTGGAGTTGGCACCGTGGTGCTAAAGCTGACTTTTGGAAAGGAGTTGAAGCTTAAAGATGTTCTGCATGTCCCAGACATCCGCAAGAATTTGGTCTCCGGATCTCTTCTTGTAGAGCATGGATTTAAGTTAGTGTTTGAAGCTAAGAAGTTTATTCTTAGCAATTTTAGTACCTTCCTTGGTCGTGGCTATCTCAACAAGGGATTATTTAAGATAAATGTAATGGCTGTGAGTCGTGTAACCGTTTCTGCTAATAATGAAAATCCTACTTCTGTTTATATCCTGGAGTGCTCTGATTTATGGCATATTAGATTAAGACATGTGAATCTAAATGTAATTAAACGGTTGATGAACTTAGAATTAATTCCTAATTCTAAAATTTAATCACACTAAAAATGTGAAATTTGTGTTAAAGCCAAAATGGCTAAATAACCTTTTCACTCGGTGGAAAGTAATACTGAACCGTTGGGTTTAATCCATACTGATTGTGCAAACAAGAATGGGTATAACTTTTATTGATGATTGCACATGTTTTTGCTACTTATATCTTTTAAGAAGCAAAGAAGAGGCTGTGGAAGCTTTTAGAAATTTTAAGACCGAAGTTGAAAATCAACTCGGCAAAAAGATTAAAATAATCTGAAGTGATAGGGGTGGGGAGTATGTAGCTCCTTTTGAACAAATATGTATTGAATATGGCATAATTCATCAAACGACGGCCCCCTATTCTCCACAGTCGAACGGTGTTGCTGAACGCAAGAACCGGATTTTAAAAGAAATGATGAATGCCATGTTGATAAATTCAGGATTACCCCAGAATATGTGGGGGGAAGCTGTTTCAACAGCAAATCATATTCTGAATAAAATACCACCTAAAGGAAAAAATGAGACTCCTTACGAAATGTGGAAAAATCGTAAGCCGTCTTATAAATACCTGAAAGTGTGGGGGTGTTTGGTTAAGGTTTCAGTTCCTGAACCAAAACAAATGAGAATCAGACCTAAGACGGTCGATTGTATTTTTATTGATATGCGTAAAATAGTACTGCATATAGATTTCTGGTTCATAAATCAGAAAATCCGGAGGTATCGGTTGGTACCACTATTGAGTCGAGGAATGCTATATTCTTCGAGAATATTTTTCCTCTGGAAGAAAGGGCAGAATCTAGTTCTAACAAAAGACGTATGAAACTGCTAGCGGTTCTGTACCATATGGTACTGAAGATAACAAAGAAGAATCGAGACGTGGTAAAAGGGCAAAAACGGTAAAAACATTTGGGCCTGATTTTATTACGTATATGTTGGACGATGAACCGAGCTCCATTAAGGAAGCTCTGTCTAGCCCAGATGGACCACTCTGGGAAGAAGCTATAAATAGCGAATACGAGTCCATTATGCAAAATCATACTTGGGAGTTGGTTGATCTCCCTGCGGGTTGTAAATCTTTAGGATGCAAGTGGATCCTAAAAAGAAAATATAGAGCTGATGGCACAATTGATAAGATTAAAGCAAGATTAGTGGTCAAAGGCTTTAAACAAAAAGAAGGGTACGACTTCTTTGATATCTATTCACCTGTGACGCGTATAGCGTCAATTACAGTGCTTCTCTCGATTGCTGCTTTGAATAATCTTGAGATTCATCAAATGGATGTCAAAACGGCATTCTTGAATGGTGAATTAGAAGAAGAGATTTACATAGAACAACCCGAAGGGTTTGTAGCACCTGGACAAGAGAAAAAGGTGTGCAAATTGATCAAATCCTTGTACGGACTTAAACAAGCTCCGAAACAATGGCATTTGAAATTTGATAACGTGATGTTGTCAAATGGATTCAAAATCAACGAATGTGACAAATGTGTTTATGTTAAGAAAACATCAAATACATATGTAATTGTATGTCTATATGTAGACGATATGTTTTTTCATGGGGAGTAGCCAATG